TCTCTCTCTTTCTCTCGCTTTAAATCAGATATCTCTTTCGTACTCTCGCTCACTTTTAATCGGCAGAACTCATTAAGAGAGTACTTACTTCGAGTGATGTTGGGGATCTTCAGGGCCCGAGGTATCGCATATACGATATGTATACAACATCGCCAGCTCGTTCATCGGGCCCAGGACCCATCGTTTCGTCCTTCTCGGTAGCGATGCTCAAAGATTCGCACACGGCCCCCCCGTCGACGATGTCTGGAGGCCTTGACTGGGCCCCTTCGGACCTAACTCCAAGCCCGGCGTACCCAGCGGGCCCTTCCCCTCGCCCTCTCGCCGCCGATCTTCACACACGACCACACTTGGTCCGCGCGAATTCACGTACGCAATCCTTATATCCACACACCGTGTGTGTATTCTTCGCCGCCGGCACATCCCGCCACCTTCGGAGCGTCTGAATCCGAATGCATGTAAGTGCATCACTCGTCAGTGCAACAGGTACGCACGTATAGCGATATTTGTCAAACGCGGTTATAAGACATCTCGTGGATACGTACGTGTATGCGCGTGTGTACTGGCAAATAACAAATTGTCGCCTCGACGGGGGGCCGCTTCGCGATTATAACTTGCGATTAAAAATCTTTGTTTCGAAATTGCTGTTTCGTGCGAGCGATATGTCGATTTGCGACTGTGACATAAAGTTAATTTAATCAATAATAATTTTACATATGTAATAATTTGTAAATTATTTATTTAAAGATTCCACCTAAAATTGCATACATTGTTAAATTTTTAGTGTCAAATTATACTCAATTTGAGTCATTTTAAATTATTCCCATAGGTCGCCACTGCTATTCAATATGTCGTTAATTTAACTAAACCAATAATGTTAAAATACTACTGTTTTGTGTTAAAATAATAAATTTCAACACACATAATAGTTAAAAATAACAAAATGTTATTTAACTCAAAATATTAATTTAAATTTCATTCTTTAATATTTAACAGTGTATAGATAAGTTAGAAATGAAGTCTGTAGCAGAAATCAGCACTTTGCTATCCATTACTATGATTTGCTATGAGTGAAGAGAACTCGATAACAATTTCTGTACGTTTCTGTTAATTTACATGAATTATCTCCGCAGCATGCAGCATATCCCCGTTGATGAGGTACCTAGGATCAGCCTCGATCCGTTACATCGAGAGATTTACAATTCATCAAGGTAAGAAGGGCACGAGGGTAGATCGATCGTATACGCTGAAGAAACGCGCAGTGAGAGGCCACCGCGGCGCCGGTCAGACGTAAATTTATCACGACGTTATCTCGCCCGTTGTGGAGCCACGTTCGTTAATTTTATTCCGACCTTTCTTTCTCTCTCGGGTCAGTCCCTCTCCTCCTCCACCCTCCCTTGTCTTCCCTCGTCGTTCCTTCTTCTCACCCTTTTTCCCCAACCCTCATGTCGCCGGGACGAGGATCAGGTAAATAGACCCGAAAATTCGGGATCGATGGAAAGGCGGTCCCCTCGGCGTCACTTCACTTTGGTTTAGATTTAAAACTCGCTGGGATACATATCGCGTGACTCTCGTTTTAATCTTCCCTCTCTCAATGGGACGAGAGACGAGGCGCGAATTAAAACCAGAGGGAAGGATACTTTTGCTGAAGGAAATCTTCGTCGCTTTGCGATCTGGACGATCCTCGATAGGCTCCTAGGCAAGTAGAATCAATTCGTCTTGCGGCGTAGAAAAAAAAGAGGAGGAAGAAAATGTTGTTACGAAGTCGAAGTCGAGTACAAGAAGCTGCCGCCGAGTAGATTCCGCGTTTTCAGTCTCCGTGTTGAACGGAGGAGACGACGTGCCCTGCTCTCGGGAGGAATTCCTCGCGTGGCGATACGGCGCAACCGGGCGTCGTCAGGCGTAATGGATATAAATTTAATTAAGATTAGGATTTCGGGGAAGTAGAGGATCCGGGCCGAAGCAGGTTCTGGAACGTGGAACTACGTCGTTCAGTCCTTCGCCGGCTTTCTAGTACCTGATCGTCAATTAAAACGTCTCGTGCTGCTGTTCAGAAATTTTAATTGTCAAGTCAATTATTATTCTGCCCTATATAATAATAATATATGTATATGTATATTATTCCTTTTTTGTCGATTAATTTTGTTATTTAGATGAACCTGTAATTTTTTCTCGTCACGAGTCTTCCGTCACACGTATTTTGTATACAAGAGAATGTTAAAAGGGCCCGGCGTGGCCGATGCACCTGGACGAAAACTAAAACGGCTTCATCGACTACGACGTCGCGTTAATTAACGCTTCTCATTATACGGATCGGTTGCGCGAGCGGACTTCCCCTTCGAAAGCGATTCCGTCGTTCGAGCGGAGAAATGCGGCTCGGGGGAGGAGGGAGATACTCACGATAGTTCTTTTGTTACCTCTCTTTTTCTCTCTCTCTCTCTCTCTCTCTCCCCCTCTCTCTCCTCTTCTGGAGTCCCTTTCTCCTCTGGAATCTCTCGCAGGTCCTTCAAGATGCTGCCTCGACCTCCCTTTCTGCTGCAACCGCCTTCTTAATCTTCCTTTAATTCCCCGGCTTTCGCGTTTCTTTAGCTCCTTTTTCCACCTTTCGTTTCCTTCGTTTCATCTCTTCGTCGTGCCTCTTCTTCTCCGTCTTCCTCCTGCTCTCCTCGTCCTCCCCTTTGTTGTCGCCCCCTTTTTGTACCATCTCCCCGGCTTCGCGGCCTTTCGCCGGCTCCCTTCGCCGGAGAGAGATACGCGCCGACAGGTTTCGAACTGTCTCGGATCCCTCGTGAAGGGCTGCTTCGGCGCGAAATCGAGCCGGGGAGTTAGTTTCTTCGTCGTGTGCTTTTCCTCGCACTCGAACATTTCATGAGTCATAGGCAAAGAGAACTTGAGACCTCGTATTTTCATCCGACTGATGTTTAATATTACATAACTATTTATGTCATTGAAAGTTTTAGAGACTCACTTTCTCTATACTTAAGCAAATCCATTATCATATTTTTAATTAAAAATATATCCTTGCAAGGTTACGTATCAAGAATTTTTTTAAATTGTTTTTAACCGGTTAATTCCAAAGGATCTTGGAATGCCCTTTTACTTTTATCCCTTCACTGCGTATCTTTGTAACGACTGGAAATTATGCCTTGATTTTATCATTGAAGTGACTCACAGGGAAAACTTCACGAAGAAAAATGCGTCGAGCAAGAAGCCGCGTTGATTCCGCGCGATATAGGTCCACGGTACAGACGCAATCGATAGGCGAGATAAGAAGAAAACGAGTCCTTCCCACACGGCTGAATGACGACGGCGCAGGCGATGCATTAGACGTCTATTTAGCCAGCGATCGCTTTATTAATCCTTGCCCGTGTTCTCATGCCTACGCAAATCTCTTTTTGCGCGACGACCGCGCTAATTTCACCGCGTCGCGGTCGTGTGAAAATAGTTTGTCGCTTGTCAGGCGTGAATAATTACGGAAAGAAAAATCGTTTTACAAAGGTTTCTAAATTAATTCGTTTAGTCTTAAGTTAATTATCGAAAAGACCATTGTGTCCCGAGAAAATCAATTATCGAAGGAGAAACCGCTTTAGAGTAACGCTGATGTTAAAATGCATAATGTTGAAATCAGAAATCTGTTTCGTTATCTAACATCATTAAGGCGACAGATTATATAAGAGACCGCTGCAAGCTGCAAGGGCTCGATAATATAGACGTATAGTTCGACTTGGCCATCGAAGTTATGTAGCCTCGATACTTTTTTGTACGGGAATCACCCTAAACACCTTTTCGGGCATCGAGATTTATCGATCGGATAACCGGTCGCCCTCCTATAGATCAACGACTATCGGGGACATCGAGGGTAGGAGAATCTCGCAGGAGACTGACTTACCAGTAGATTGACAGCGCCAGTGTGATCGTCCACCCAGGCGAGCAGGATGTCGGCGCCTTTCATGTTGGTCTTCTCGTTAAAACCGATACCAACGTAGCCCAGGGTTTTGGCGGTGACCCTGAAGATCACCTCCTCGTCGTCCGAAGGATCCCACTCGAGGATCACGTCACCGTTATCGTCCAGTCTCTCGTACCTGATAAATCTCCACGACCTGGTGCTAGATATGCCCTCATTAATTTCATGGTCCGCGTTCCTCCTAAACCTCATCGCTATTTCGTCCTTGATGTAATCCTTCGCTCCTCGCGCGTCCTTGGCCGGTTTCTCCGGGAAATACTTCTTCGGCACCCGGCTACCCTTTGGCGTCCGTTTGAAACTCGACTCGACGAATGGCTTCGGATTGATTCTCTCGTTCTCGCTGATTATCTCGAACTGCGAGTTATCTTCGCCCTCCATCTCTTCGGAATCATTCCAGTTTTCCTCCGAAATTTCTTCCTCGGGTTTCAGAGAGACGTCGACGGTGAACTTTTCGACGTCGGTCTGATTCTCCACGATTGTCAATCGATCCTCCGACGTTTCCTCAACAATCGGATCTTGCGAGACGTTCAACTGCGAATTTTCAGCAGCGTTTTCAAGAACCGTCGACGTCTTCTCGAAGTATTTCGAATTCTGCGTCGAGAATATTTCATGCTGATCAGGATTCAGGTTCTCATCCCGTTTGTTTTGATAATCCAAAGCATCGCTCTTGTAAGGGACAATCTTCCTCTTAGCCTTCCACTGCTTCAACCAATCCTCGTCGACATCCAGTCGCTGCTTCTTGAAGTTCCCGATCTTGAGCCACGGTTCGTCCTCCTCGAGGCTCCTCTTTATTCTCCTGGCAACAGGATCCATGGGATGTCGTTTATATCTGTAGGGGATCGTCCTCATGGTCTCGTCCATGTGCTGGACGTAGAGATCCAACAGATCGCACTTGACGATCCAGCACGCGACCAGCGTCACAATCACCCTGAGTAACAACATCTTCATCCACTTTCTTTCTACCTTCTTGATCCTTCATACGATCATCAAGCGACTTCTACCGTTTGCTTCACCGTTATTACCAGGGCCATCAATTTGTCTCTTTTTCAATTTATCTTATCGAATACGATTAGATATGTACAGCCGAACTCGATCTATCACTATTTGTCGGAATTAATCTATCATCTTTTAGCTACTGTGCTCAAATTTAACCACAATTCGTCTTAAACTCTTAATTATTAATTAATTGCAATTTCCAAAAAAAAGTATTTTTATGATTTCCTATCACGGATGATTCCTGTTCCTACCGAAAAGTTAATTTTTAACGATAACGAAGTGAATTGGTCGTATTCACGAGTACTGATAAAAATCCCGACGATTCGAGGCGAATTAAGCCCTAGTTTCTTTCACGATTTTTCGTTAATCCAATTTTCAACACACCGAACTCGAGAACAGTCTTCCATGCATGCTGCGCGCACGACAGTTGTGCCGGGACTAATTTAAACACGCGGCTGCCGCGCTGCCCCTGCAGATGCTCGCAGCTGCTTACCTGCGGTCCCCTTCCTTCGGGGCCCCGGCACAGGGACGTATTGACTGTTTCGGGATGTATTGGCTGTCCGCGCGGCTCTGCGATCATTAAATCGCATAAATATAAAATCTTCTATTAAACGTATATTTTTCTATTGTAATGTATAATATAAAAGGAGATCATATCCATAAATATATAACAAAACAGAATTTTTCCTTTGCCAGCAAATGAGAAGTTGAAAAAGTCAAACGATTCAGACTCGATTTTTCGACCCAATTTAACTTTTGATCTTTAAGATAGTGAAAACAAACGACAAAGAAATGTAAATTATGGCTCTGTTCCGGAATTATTTATTTAAGTAACGTGATTTTTTTTCTCTCGATGTCTCATTTGCCGCTGATATCTCATTTGCCGTATTACGTCCAGTTTTTGCGAGATTCGCCAAGGATCAATTCGCGTTTTTGCGCCCGACTTAGTTACGTGCGGCTAATAAGTAATCACGGCGTTCACTTAGCTACGACTCGCGTAATTCACCGAGAAATACGTACGTACTCGGTTGTAACGTTCTGGGACGCGCGTGGGTAAATTGTTGGCAATACGAAATCACCCTACGCAAGGTAAAAAAAAAACCTCCATCCTCCACGTCTACGCTCTGATCCTTCGAGCGCAATAATTGCACACGACTCGCACATACGATTATCCGCCGCTGCGGTTCGCCCGCGCCGTTCACGAGAACGTTAGATGAGAGGGCGAAAGAGGGATCCTGGTGGTGCTTCCTGCGGAAACGTCCCTCCCTTTTTCTTTCCTTCGTTCTTTTTTATTTGTAACCAGAGACTCACATACGTGAGACGGCGATGCTGATGGTGGCGGTCTTCCCTTTCCAGAAAGGGACATGGGGACGTAAAACCAACTGCGGCAGATGCGAACCCTTGGCACGCGCCCTTCTGCTCCCCCCAGTGATTCTCATGTCGATCCTTCTGCCTTCCGGTAGAGCAGTGTCTCGCTTACTTCCACACCAATACCGAATAAACGGACCGTTATTTTTTTTCATCAATTAATGAATTATTCAAATATCTTCTCGAGTTGATAAATCAACGTTGTGTCTAATCGTTCGTGAAATGCGTTGCGCCCATTTGCTAAGAAACGTTTTATGGGATCAATATCCTTGGCTCATACCGATATTGTCGATATCGTTGAAGCCGATTCAGCGCTTAATCGTGCGAATCCCATCCGGTCGGCGACCGATATATCCCGCTTAAGCGTCCGCACGTGTCCAGAAGCCAACTGTATCGAGTTACTTCCTGCGACTGACATTGAAACACTATACTTCACGTGCAAGAGTGGTGGTTACCGATCCTTATTCTTTACGGATTGGATATCGATCGATACAAAAATGTGAAACGAGGAATGACTTGAGGAGACTTGCTTGAATTAGCAGAATGTAAAATTTTGAGAAAAGTTGCAAATATAAAACTATATTTTCAAGATAAAACATGATATAGTCAACAGTAGTTGCAATCGACATAAAGAACTTCGCCTATTTTTGGTTAATCTGGGCTTAGTCATCAATCATATACATATATAATTTTGTAGATAATAACGGTAGTCGAAAGAAAAAATAGTTTTAGATCAAACCCTTGCCGGAAGCAGTTCTGACCTTCTAATGATGTTATTTTGTTTGTTAGCTCATTATCAGAATTGTCCAAGAGAACACAAGTACCATTACTATGATTAGAAGGGATCTGTATATATTATCAAAAAGATATTTAGCATATCCTAGATAATCAACCAAATAATTATAAGAGGATAAAAAAACAAGAATTCTAAGAGTCATGTTCAACTATAAAATAAAAAAATCATCAATTAATTAATTTAGGTCGTTCGTCGAAAGTCTCTGGAAAATGTCTCTCAATAAAATAATCTTAGATTGCCAAGATATCTGGTGAAACCCATTTTTTATTGGCGACGTCAAGTTATCTCTGCTGATGCGATTCGACTTCGTCTTATGATACGATCGAGATTGATGCGTCCATCGTCATTCGAGTCAATTCCCGTCGAGATTAATTGGCTCCTCCGAAACTAGTTTGGCCGGAAGGGTCACCGACTACAAAGAACCGGGATTTGTTTTATAGCCTGCCGGATGGCTTTATGGCCTTTATGACACCGTACCGCGACAAGATTTGCAGCCCCCCGGCATAAAGGAGCGTCGTCTCTTGGGACAAAATCGGGAAAATCGTTTGATTACTTTTCGGGACAGGTGCACGCGTCGGAGAAAAACGTGACTCCGAACTTTTTATTTCTGCTTCCTTTTTCTTTCTTTGTGATCTCACGGTCGCTCGTAACTGGTATTCACGTCATGAGGAGTACTCATCGAGGGGTGCGCGACGCCGATCGCGGAGGTGCGACGTACGGCCGATTCAGTATTCATCCGGCGAAATTGTTCGTCGTTCCCTCTCACCGCGCCGGATTTTATTTACGAGGAAGAAGAGGTATCGGCTCGGAAATCGCGTCGCCCTGGGAAAAACCGATGAGGCGACACGCCATGCGCGCGGAGCATGAGAAGCGATTAATTTCCAACGACTGCACGTACACGCGCGTGAATGAACGATCGGTACCAGGACGATCGATCGCGTATTCCACGTGCGTGTCCGTCACGACGTTGATGCCCGAAATAAATCGTCTTGAAAATCCTTCTGCGCATAAACAAAATCCCAGCTACCTCCGACAATGAAATCCGCAAGGATCCGCTTGATTTCGATCGCAATTGACTTGAACTGCGTCGAAATTAAACCGAACTCTGTTTTTGAGACACGCGGATGTTGTTATATTCGTCTGTTTTTTTTTACCGTGGCTTTCCAAAAGTTCGGTGGCGAGCGCATAAGTACGTATTAAAGTCTCCACTTCACCTGTCGCGCGCGCACTCAGCACTATACACCTGCTACGTAATCATACTTCTCTTCGACACCATCTGCCTCTCTAAGGTTTCGATATTCGATCGGCAGACGCGGATTAAAAGTGAAAATGCCGTAATCGAAAGTCGTGTTGCGATACATTGTATACGCTCGTTTATTGATCATTTTCGTTAACTTAACACTCAATCGCAAATAGTTTTGATATTTTCTGCGTATTTAGAGAATCTGAAAATATTACTTTCCAAAAGACACAGAGTGTCAAGATTATTAAAATATGTTATTTGTAAAATTATAAAAAAAATGTTCAGTTTTATTAATGCAATTTCGTTGGAAATGCGTAAATAAACGCTCTAACCCTGGACAGACTCACTGGGGTGTTACGGGACCCCACGCGAAATTCAAATTGAGCCCCTTTTTTTTTGGATTTGTTCCCTCGGTTGAGAGAAACTTAG